TTCATATTTACGCCTCGCCACCTCTGTTAAGATGATTATCTTATCGAACTTGACAGAACGCGATTGTCTACTCCATTTCCATTATAACTGTTAAGTAATAGAAATTGTGTGAGAGTTCTTAATGGGTTGGGCTCTTTTCTGATATATATAGTACGCCTAAGGCCATGTTGATTTGATTATATGGATGACATCCTCTGGGAACCCCAAAACTGATGCGCGCGTGCGAATAAAAAAAAAGTTTTGCAAAAAAAAAAAAAAGTTGCTTTCACTATGAAATCTACATGGTCATGAAGGTTGAACAGAATATGTTATGGCGAATAATCTACCCTTCGAATTCATTTCTTTACATATTTTTTGTCTTTTTTCCTTTGATTTTGGAATTCTACGACATTGGTATCGTTTCTAAATGTTTTCCTTGCAACTTATGGCATATTTTTGCTCATTTAGCAACTGTTTTGCACGATTTACAGTATTTGGTTGAAAACTTTTTTTTTTTGGAAACGGCCGAGAATCCATGCGCGCGCGGATGTCATCCATATAATCAAATCAACATGGCCTAAGTTATAACTGTACAGCAATCATGGACAACATCTGAGGGTCCAACTACGGAAGGATCCGGCTTAAAATAAGACTTTATAAGTCCCAAAAATAAATTTCAATTGTCCCAAAGTGAGGATGAACTGTCCCAACCTGTTTTTTTTTTGCAAGTATTGTATGATTTCAGGTTGAAGTCAACTTTATTTTGCTTGTGTTTATTCCCAGGTGCCCTATAATTGCGGTGTAGACGGGAAATTCGGGGAGACTTTTCCGGATCCAAAAGCCGAGACGTGTGCCTGATAAACCAAAAAAGGCTGACGTTCTGATGTTGATTATTTTTCTATTGTCCCAAAAATGTTCCAAAGTGTCTTTTTAGTTGTCCTAGCCTAAATTTAGTGGTCAGTGGCCAATTGGACCACCTTTAATTTTTAGCCCTGTTAGGCCACAGCAAGTAAATCTTATGGATGACATCCTCTGCAGACTCCAAATCTAATGCGATAGGGCGAAAAAAACAAGTCAGACCAAAAAATAAGATTCCTCCATTTTCAAATTTTGACATCATAAACCTTGTAGACAAGAAATGATACCTATATTATGCTAAGTTTACTTCCAACTATTACAACATCCATTGGTCACAAAAAAAAAAGGTTTCAATCATTGTACAATGGTTTTGATTGAGTGGGAACATCGCATATACAAAGCCATCATGGTAAATCACCACATATGAAAGGAATAAAATGCATCACTGCATCAAAGTAAAAGACAAAACAATAAAATCAGAGACCTTGTCTTGTCTCCTCTCTACATATTTATCTGCCATCCATGTTCTGGCATGGCAAGTTTGGTAACAGACATCTTTTCCCATTGACATGTTGACCACTGTCGGAGGGCAACAAAATTTCTCAGTTCTTATTCCCTAAAATCAGGCGTAAATTAATGCGTGTGATGATATCGTCCATAAAAATTACTTAAAGTCACTTCAAGACATTCATTCCTTCCTTCCTTCCTACAACATACAAACAAACAAACAAACAAACAAACATAACGTACCAGTGTGTCGTTCCTGACAAACTGTGTACCCTTCTCCTGGCGTGGCTCCAGGATGATCTGTCCCAGCCCAAACTGAGGCTGGCGCAGGGCCTTGCAGACTTTGATGCCATCCTCCTCCGTCGCTGCCCTTCCCTGCGGCCCGCGGAAGTCAAACATGCTGGTCGTTTTCACGCAATCTGTGGAAATCAGAACACTACAGCTTTAGGCCACACCAATTTAATTTCTTGATTAACGGATTCGCCCGCTTCATTTTTTTCTGGATTTCCAAATAAGGCCACACCAATTTAATTTC